ATGGGTTTCCTGACTATGAATGTCAATATTGTGGTGCTCGCTTCTGGTATGAAGAACGTCTTGGAAGGCATCGTTCTACTTCTGCTATTTTCACATTATGTTGTCAACGAGGTCGTGTTCGTCTACCTTTTTTGGAGCAGACACCTTCTTATCTGGAAGAATTAATTGGTATTAATGGGGGACCAATGGCAGTGCATTTCCGTGAACATATTCGATCATATAATGCAGCTTTTTCGTTTACTTCATTTGGTGCTCAGTTGGATCCCCGAGTTTCTCAAGGACGAGGTCCGTATTCATTTGTTATTTGTGGTGAAAATTACCATCGGATAGGTTCTTTACTTCCAGTGGAGGGAGGAAGGCCTCGATATTCACAACTTTATGTTTATGATCCTGAGACTAAACTTTCAGATCGGTTGCATCAGTTTGATACAGGAGAGAATTGCTTGAAACCTGAGATTGTGTCTGGTCTAATGAAATTGTTCGATGTCACCAATGAGTTAGTAAAGTCTTTCCGAAGAATTCGTTCACAACTTTGTGATCCAGCAACGGTGAATATGAAATTGCGAATTGTTGGGTTAAGAGATATTACAAATAGGCAATATGATCTTCCAACAGGTTCTGAATTGGCATGGTTGATTCCGGGGGATTTTGTTCCTGATGAAGAAGAACGTGATATCATTGTAGATCATTGTTCTGAAGGGCTGAAGAGAATTACCACTGTGCATCCTAAGTATGATGCTTTGCATTTTACAGTGTTATTTCCATATGGAGAAGATGGTTTTCATGTAAATATTCCGTACGATCCAGTCAATGTTCCTCCTACTTTGAAACGAAAGTATGTTACTCAGCGAGAGTATTATGCTTATAGTCTTCAGCATAGAGATGATGAAGGACAGACCCTGCTACGTGGTGGGAAGGCTTTGCAACATTATATTGTCGATGTTTTTTCAACTGTTGAACAAAATCGACTTCATTACCTACATACTCATCAAGATGATCTCCGAGCTGAATTATACCAAGGTCTTACAGATGCATTCAATAGAGGTGATATGACTGGTGATGATGTAGGTCATGTTGTGCTTCCATCTTCACACACTGGTAGTCCGAGGTATATGAAACAATTATATCTAGATGCAATGGCTGTTGTTCATCATCGTGGTAGTTCTAATCTTTTTATTACCTTTACATGTAATTCTCAATGGCCTGAGATTACAGAATCATTTCGTGATATTTGTGGTTCTAAGAGTGAGCTGAAGCCCCAGATTGTTGCTCGAGTTTTCCGAATGAAACTAAATGCTTTAGAGGATGAATTAGTTTGGACAAACTTTTTCGGGAAGACAGTTGCAGGTTTGATTTTGGCATCTCATTTATAATTTTTGTTTTTGTTGTGTATTCGTTGTTATATATAGTATATTGTTTGTTTAAGTTTTCTTAAGTTTTAAGTATTTAATATATATATATATGTGTGTGTGTATGTGTAGGTATAAAAACCGTTGAATTTCAGAAAAGAGGTCTACCACATGTGCACATATTGTTATGGTTGGATGCAAAAAGTAAACTTCATACATCCGCTGATATTGATGCTACCGTTTCTGCTGAATTACCCGATCCAGAAGTTGATCCTCTTGGTTATGAGGCTGTGACAAAATTTATGCTCCATGGGCCATGTGGGGATGATAATCCTGCTAATGTGTGTATGAAGAATGGATCGTGTTCTAAGTATTTTCCTAAATTGTTCAATTGAGAGACAACTACGGATCAATTTGGTTACACGGTTTATAGGAGGCGTGATACTGTAATAATAGCAACGAAAGGGACAGCAATACTTGATAATAGGTATGTAGTCCCCTATAATAGGAATTTGCTGGTGCTTTTCCAGGCTCATATAAATTTTGAAGTTTGTCATCAAGGACGGTTGATTAAGTATCTTTTCAAGTATATTACTAAAGGTCCAGACCGTTCTATGGTTGTTGCTGAGACTGCTTCGAATTCTTCTGTTGTATCTGATATGCCAATTCAACGACCTCCTCTAGATGAAATCAAACAATTCCTTGATTGTCGGAGTTTATCATCTTATGAGGCTGCATGGAGACTTTTTGAGTTTCCTATTCATGAGAGAACACTAGCAGTACAACGTTTGTGTGTACATCTTGAAGGGAGACATCAAGTTCCTTATAGGAAGAGACAGAGGTTGTCGCGTATTCTTGCACGTAACGGTGTCTCAGAGACTACTCTTACACAATGGTTTGCTCTTAATCAACGAGATCCGGAAGCTTGAAGTTTGCTCTATTCTGAAACTCCAAATAAATATATCTGGAATTTGAAGAAAAAGATCTGGTGTCGGAGGAAAAAGGGTTTTGCAATTGGGCGAACTGTCTATATTCATCCAGGATGTGGGGATACATTTTATCTTAGACAGATGTTGGCGAAAGTTCGTAGAGCGGTCAATTACGCTGATTTACGGACAATTAATGGTTTTATGTCGAACATATCAAGCTGCTTGCCAACGTCTAGGTCTACTATCAAATGATGATGAATGGTTGCTTGTGATAAAGGAAGTGAGCCAATGGGGGATGTGTAGTCTTTTGAGGTATCTCTTTGTTACAATGTTAATGTTTTGCGAGTTGTCTGATGCATTAGGTCTATTCAACAAGACATGGGAATTGCTTTCAGATGATATTATCTATCAATGCCAACGTGATGTCAATTTCAACAATCATTTGATTCCTGAAGAATTGCCAAAAAATAAATTGTTATTGGAGTTGCAGCGAATGTTAGATGGCTATTCTGCTACGCTTTCACAGTTTAATCTGCCTCTTCCAACAATGACATCACGTCCAGAAGATGTTCATTCATGTTTTGATAATGATGTGCAATCATTTATGCCACGATCTTCTTCCTTGTCATCTCCTCTCATAACTGATTTGAATAGAGAGCAGGAGGCTGCTTTCCACTCAGTTATTAATTCGATTAATTCGGTGGAGGTGGATAGACGTAATTTTTTTTTCCTACATGGACATGGAGGAACTGGTAAAACATTTCTCTATAGGGTGATGTTGGCGCACCTTAAAGAACTTGGAAGGATTGTTCTTGTGGTTGCTTCTTCGGGTATTGCTGCAACACTACTTCCTGATGCAAGCACAGCTCATTCAAAGTTCAAGATCCCTCTTGAAATTGACTATCGATCATCTTGTAATATAAGGAAAGGTACTCCCCTTGCTCAATTGATTGCTGATGCAGCTTTTATAGTATGAGATGAAGCGCCCATGGTACATCGATTGTGTTTTGAGGCTGTCGATAGAGCTTTTTGTGATATTATGAACATTCCTTTTGGTGGTGAGAACTATAAACCGTTTGGAGGTAAAACCGTCCTGTTAGGTGGTGATTTTTGTCAGACATTGCCAATTGTTGCAGATGCTTGAAAAGAGGAAACTATTGATGCATCATTGACTCGGTCTTACTTGTGGAATTACTGTACCGTGTTGCATCTTACCAGAAACATGCGTGTCATTTCTTCGTCTGCAAATCGACATAGAGATTTCCATGGAATGAACTTCAATGATTGGACTTTATCTGTTGGTAATGGAAGTATACCAGGTAGATCATTTGGAGAAAATCAACCAGCTGACTGGATTGAAAAACTTGAGTCTTTTTTGATTGAATCCACAAGAATGCCTATTCAGAAAATTGCATCTAAGATATACACTGACTTCATAGAGCATTTTCATAATGTCTCATATCTGACTGAAAGATCTATTGTGATACCAACAAACCAGGATGTAACAGAGATTAATGCTCACATGCTCTCTTTAATTCTGGGAATTGCACGGAGTTATTTCAGTAGTGATACATTGGAGACATATGCAAGTAATCCAGATCTTCTTGAAGCCGAGTATCCTATAGAGTTTCTTAATGGATTATCTTTCAATGGATGTCATGATCATCAAATTGATCTGAAAGTTTTCACACTGATTATGCTCCTCGGGAACTTAAATCCATCTATTGGTCTGTGTAATGGTACAAGGTTAATGATTGTCTATCTGGGACATTATGTCATAAAAGGAAAGATTATGGGCGGTACATTTAATGACAGAACTGTTGCAATTCCTAGAGTGGTCTTGAATATCAATGATTCGCGTTGGCCTTTTGTACTTAAGCGACGACAGTTTCCAATACGTCTTTGTTATGCAATGACAATAAACAAAAGTCAGGGGCAGACTCTCCATAGTGTTGGTGTGTATCTACCTAGACCTTTGTTCAGTCATGGTCTACTTTATGTGGCCATATCGCGAGTTAGAGCAGCTACTGGATTACGATTCCTGATTGTTAATGAAAAAGGCATTCCATCGAATTATACTCGCAATATTGTGTATCAAGAAGCATTTGTTGGTCTTGAAAATGTTAATTGCAGTGAATTTGCTCTTACGAGATGGTATATCCTCTTTTGTATTTTCTTTTTGTTATTGTTTATTGTCTTTTTTAGGTGTTAATCAGATTGTTTTATTATATATGTTTATGTACATGACTATTGTAGATCTAGAGATAGATTACTTTCGGATATCCGAGTGGATCCAGATGTGACTTTTATTCGATCATATAATAAATGAGGTGAGCATGATCTATGGTATTCAGTCCTTTAAATTATATTATAGTAATATTGTTCTATTTTAGTATTCTAATATAAAAAAGCTGGCTATTTTTTGTAGATATAGTTTCATCTGGGGAGTAATTCATATGCACTGCTGTGGAGCTTGATTTCTTTTCCTAATGAAAAGTTTCTTAATGGGATTAGATATTTGCATAGCTGGCAATATATTGATAAGATCCTTATTACAAATATGAAGCGTGAAGAATCAATTGTTATATATTAATTATGCTGATATCATAAATAGGAGATCCATTTGTCTTTCTTTAGTGTTTTTATCATTACCAAAAGTGGGTTTTAGATATTTTGTTCATGAATGGAAATATATAATTATTTATATATGTTATTTAAGCCACCTAAGGTATTCATTTGTTTGCCATCTGTCTATTGATGGTCTACTTTGATTACCACTTGGCAATGTTGATTGACAGAAGCAGTAGTTTCACTCTGCATGGTCTCCAACTGTCGCCTTTTTACCACTCATTTGTTATGTTTTCTCAAATGTCTCAGAGTAGTCATTTAAGCTTCAGAATTTTGGAGTGAGTCTTCTTCTAAATCTAATTCTCTAGCAACACTCATTTCAGTTGCAAAGCTTTAAGGTAATGCTTCTCCTCTACTTCTTTTACATTTTTGTGTATTAGTTGATGATTCTTTCTATTTAGAGTAAGAAAAGTTCTTTGTAGTCAGTTGTATTAGATAGAGGCAGAATTTGTCTTAAAAAGAAATGAGGAATATACATAATTGACTTATAATGGATCAAACTTTTCAGTATGGTTTTTTGTTATTAATTATCTATGTATGTGAGATTTAATTTGCATTGTTTGTTTCAGGTCTGCTTAAACTCTTTCTGCAAATCAACAATATTTTTTGCTCAAAATGTCCAGAAATTACTTGCTTTCTGATTCTCCAGATGGTAAGAGGGAATGAATGTTGATATCTTATTAGAAAAATAACTTTTATGGATATGTTGTTTCAATTTTCAATCCATGGTTATTTTTCTTTGCTTTTAGATCCAATTGTCACATCATCGGTAATTAGAGATCTTGAAGGGGAATTTATAACGGGCCATATTATACTTCGACTCATTCATATTTGGTATTCTGATGAATATATTGGAACTGAAGCAAATCAGTTTATGTATACACTATGGATTGACAAAGAGGTTTGTATATGCATTTCTATTGTCATAATTGTTGTATTTATAATTGAAGATTGTCCATATAAAAGTTATATATTATCTAATTGGATATTGATTATTTCCTTTGCTTTACAGGAAAATATGGTGGAAGGAGTAACAAATGAAGAAGATATTCGTTATATGCAGAATTATTTGAGTGTGGGAAGCCTATATAATATTGAAAACGTGCGCCTAACAAAGGCAATGAGAATTCATCGTACAGCACCAGGAGATATTCGTATATACCTTTGTCGTGGATTAAAGTTCAATGCAGTACATGAAAATCGATTTGGGGCACACTTTTCTGTTGACAGTTTTAAAAACAATGAATTTGTGGATCTCTGGAGTATGGTTGTGAATCCGACGCATCTTGCAGGTAATTATGTTTTTGGTATATATTTAAAATTATATTTCCTTTATATTAATTGTTTATTTTCCTTACTAGACCTTACAGGTCGTATTCTCTCCATAGCACAACCAGTGCATAATGATGATGGCACAATGCTTGTGATTGTAAAAATAGAAAATACTAGGTAATATATTACTATACAGATCTTATATATTCAATTGTGTTGTGTAAGAATTAATACTTCTTTGTGTGATTAGGAATGCAACTGTTGCTATCAATTGGATAACTACTGTGAGTGATTTCTATTCGTGGGTTGAAATTCAAGAAATGATATATCCAGTGGTTGTTACATTCACAAGTATCTTGGTTTATGAGCCTGAACCCAATTGTAAGAATTCATAATTATGTCATTATTATGTGTTTGTTTTGTATTTTATCATTATTATTAAGGAATTTTTGGATAACTTGTAGTTAATCTGCTCCTCACGAGCACAAATGCAACACGCTTGATACGTGGTTCGTATACGCATCGATATAGGGAACTGTTGAACAGGTTAGGTATAGAGTTCATGGTTTGAATTATTCTTATATTTCAAATATAAAGTATTACTGATTGACCAAAGTTTCTTAATAGATATTTTCATGAGCATAGACCAATTATGATACTTGAACATACAAGAACAAGGAATGTTTCTTGCTTTAGAGATCCTTTGCCAGTTGTGGTTACCTTACAGATGATGCGTACATTCCTTTCTAATGTTGATATCAATCTTAAGGTATATTTTTTTACATTGTTTGATAAGTGAAATTGAATAAAATTCTTTCTCTGATACTGATATAGTTCCATGTAGGCAAGATATTGGTGTTTGGTACAAATTGAGGATTTTATTGCAGATCATGGAATAGTGAGACAAAAAAATACCGTTTATTGGTATGTTAGAATAAAATGTACCTTTTGTTAATTTTTTTGTCATCTGTAAGTAGTGATGTACCTTTTTTATTGAATGCAGGTATGATGCATTAGTGTGTTGCAAAGATTTCATAGATAGTGAAAGTATTGAGTTTGGCTATTCAGTAATGGTTCAATTGTTGCAAATGTCAGCTCAAGATTTCAGTATTCTTCAACATTTTGAGCAAGAGGGATTGATTGAGCGAATACGAGGAAAATATTTTACTGTAGAACTATCTATCTCAGAATGTTCCTAAGGAAATAGACATATGACTGTGACTGTTCTATGGAGTCCATTATGTTCACGCATTGTTTAGGACTTAGACTGACAGTTTTAGTAGTGTTTATTAGCAACGTATATGTAATCTTATTTTCTTTGTTTTCAGTTTTTGTAATTGATCGTCTTTAAGACAAAAGGATATCTACGAATTCCAGTCGTATATCTTGCTTAGACTAAAATTGTACTATGTTCAAAGTAAAACAATAATGATGGAAATTGAATCTTAGTGGTATTGATGTACCAATTATTAAAAGGATAAAGAAATTAATTTCACAATCTATTCTATCTAATTTCGTGTCTTTAAACCGTTTATATGATAGTGAAAAAAAAGTTAAGGTATTTTGTAATATCCATCAAATTATTTAGACAAATATACAGGTATTAATTATTAATTGAATTACTATTCATCACAATTATATAAATAATGGGCTGTCTTTTAGCATATAATTAGATATGTCAATTGGGCCCAGTATTATCATGTTTAGCCCGAATAAGAAATTGTTTTATGCTTATATTGAATTTCTATAGTTTTCTGGGGGCCCAGTGTATAATGGATATCAGATACAAAGATTTCATAAGTGACTATTATTGGGTCATGGTTCGGTCCATTAGGAGGACAATTTATGGCCCAGTGGATCTCCAATGTCCGATTTTTATAAGTGGTAATAGTACAGTGATAATATCAACTCCTAAGAGCCCTGTTCTATTTCTATTCGGCAGAATAAAAAAAATACTAAAATAGAAAATATCTTTCGGAGAGATGGTCGAGTGGTTGATAGCTCCGGTCTTGAACACCGGTATAGTTCTTTGCGAACTATCAATGGTTCGAATCCTTAGGTCATATGAAGTCAAATGGTATAAAATTCTTTTAAAATGGATAATACTACGCAGAAATTTGATACAATAATTCCAATTCTTTTGTTGATTGGAGCATTGGAAAAAGTCCTGGAAGTTTTAGTAGTGTTTATTAGGAATGTATATGTAACCTTATTTTCTTTGTTTTCAGTTTTTGTAATTTATCGTCTTTAAGACAAAAGGATATCTACAAATTCCAGTCGTATATCTTGCTTAGACTAAAACTGTATTATGTCCAAAGTGAAACAATAATGATGGAAATTGAATCTTAGTGGTATTGATGTACCAATTATTAAAAGGATAAAGAAATTAATTTCATAATCTATTCTATCTAATTTCTATGTAATTCCGTGACTTGAATTCGTTCATATGATAGTGAAAAAAAAGTGAAGGTATTTTGTAATATCCATCAATTTATTTAGACAAATATACATGTATTAATTATTAATTGAATTATTATCCATCACAATTATATACATAATGGGTCGTCTTTTAGGATATAAACAGATATGTCAATTGAGCCCAATATTGTCAAATTTAGCCCGGATAAGTAATTGTTTTATGCTTATATTGAATTTCTATAGTTTTCTGGGGGCCCAGTCTATAATTGATATCAGATACAAAAATTTCACATGTGACTATTATTGGGTCATGGTTCGGTCCATTAAGTAGACAATTTATGGCCCAGTGGATCTCCAATGTCCGAGTTTTATAAGTGGTAAGTAATCGTTTAGGGACCAACTTCCACCGCCTTTTCATTTCAGTTCTAACTCTACCTTTTAACTTCCTCTGTTCTCTGAACTCTTTTTCCCAGAGGCTACAATACTTTGAAACTTCCAGATCAGAGTTGCTTAGTTATATATTCATGAGGTATGATTCCCGATGGTTTTTCTTTCTGCATTTTGTCTTTGTTTCTTTACATTTGAACCAATTTTTTACCTTTATTGTCTTTTTATATCAGTCATCGTTGTATAATGCCTCGTGATTTCAAACTTCCAACTCTTCCACAAGGTATCATGCTCTGTTACTTTGTATTTGAACTTTCTCTTCGTTGGTTTGTCAATGAAAACTATTGAAGTCTTAGGTTTTGGGTTATCTGTTCTTTATTACAGACCCAATTTCCACATGCATGGTCTTTCGTGGACTGCGGATTGGTGTTTATACAGATATTATGATAATCCGAGTTCTTAATGTGTGGATTGAGTATAGTTACGACTCTCCACAACGTAGAAGAACAATGCATGTGTTGTGTCTTGACAAAGAGGTTTGTTATTGATCTATATATTGTAATATTTACTGTTTGTGTGTTGGTTGTAGTGATTAACTAAATTACATTTAACAGGAACGTATGCTAGAAGCCTGTATTGAAGAAGATGACATTGAAGAAATCCATGATAAGTTGAAGGTGGGCGATTTACATGTTCTGGATGGATTTCATGTAATCCCTGCAAGGGAAAACAAACGTGTTGTTCCCGCTGAAGTTCGCTTTGCCCTAAAGAGTCGGCATATTATGTTTTGCGTGCCTGACAATCAGAGTTATCCCAAGTTTCCTGTCAACAATTTTCTGAAAACTTCATTCTCAGCTGTTCCAATAGAGGCAGAGACAATTGTGAATTATGGAGGTATTTTCCTTGGAAGTTGTTTTTATAAAAATTATACAGGCTGTGTTGTTTATCTAACAATTTCAAAGGTCTCAACTAATGATGTTTTCGGATTTAAGCTCATCATAGAAGACTGCACGTGTCTTGTGTGTTCTTATGTTGATTTTTGTTTGTTGGACTTTTATGTGGGATTAACTGATTTTTTTTATTTTGTGTAGAGGGGACAGGGCGACAGTGTATTACTCTGGATCTGAGGTTAAAAAATATTTGGAACTTGCAGGGGATTCTGAATCTCGGCTTCTTCTCATTACCACTATTACTGCTGTTACAAGGCTGCCAGTTACAGGTAGCAATGAAGATGCATATGCATTTCAATCTTCACCTAGGAGTCGTCTGATCATTGCTTCCTATAATCACCATTATGAAAAACTCATAAATAGGTATGATTATATTAGAATTCTATGTTTATATATTATTAAAACTACTCTGTTGGATGTAAACAAAAAATACATAAATTCTTTTTGTTGTTTTAGGTTTATAGGTGATCGGGTGCCAGTGACTTACATTAATAGTGCTTCTCATTGCTCTATTGGCTATCTTCGTGGTCTTCTTCCTCCCAAAAGGACACTCCGGCAACTAAAAGACGATATTATGTTCCGTTCACAGAACTACCAGGTACATGTATAATATTGTATGTTTTAATTCTATTGGATCACACATATCCCAAATTTATAGTAATATATTAACCTATTATAAAATAATTCTTCTTTTAGACTCTCTATCGTTGTGTGCTGGAAGTGTCAAGGTTTACCTATGGTCCAGAAGTCTACAAATCAAGTTTAGGTTTTCCAAGGTATGATTCAATTTTATGTTTTACTAATAGTGTGTTGTCTATTGCATTTAAGAAAACTGAAAGTGTTCCTTTTATTGTTTAATTTAGGGTACGATATGAATTAGATGCGACATGTCAATGTGAAGGCGATTTTGTTGATGTTATCCTTGATCATGAAGTTGTGTTGGGCTTGGTTTGTGTTTCGCCTGAGGAACTTTTCAGTTTAACCTATGAAGAAGCATATGAATGCATTGAAGACAGGTGTTATATGCCATTTGTGGCAGAAGCTTTTATCTCTCCTGGGAATTCAGAAAAACCTCCTACTATCCGAATTGCTTCAAACTGGAACTCTAATACCTTCGTGTGATTAAAAACTGCCCTACTTGGAACTTATTTTGTCAGTACGGCTTATTTATAATTATGTATGTTATCTATTCAGAACATGTTCCTCTAATTTCTGTAAAAAACTCTGTTTCTTTTTCTTTAGCTATCCTGGTATTTTGATGTTAGTTATGTATATATTAATTATCTACTACTAATATCGGTTGTCACTCTATGTATGATAATATATATTTTTGTAGTATGGATGGATCTTCTCGCTTTATATGATCTATGGATTTATAACCTCAAGAAAAGTATATCTATTTAACAAAAAAAAAAGTGATTAATTTTTTTACTTTGTGTTTTTATTATCTTAATTTTGTTTGTTAGCAATATCGTATTTCTACTAATTTGATTTATATAATGCTTGACTATTTTCCGAAATAATATGGTTTTTATATTAACATGGTACTCGAAAATATAACTTGAAATAACTTAAATTATAAATAATAGAATAGGAATTGTTAACATTTGACCTATTAATTCGATAAGGTCCAAGTTAACCCGCACATTGACAACCTTGATCTTAAATCATTTTGTACATTTAAATTATCATAGATTATTACTCTTTCTAATTTATATAATTAATGAAAATTTGTGGATTTTTATTGTTAAGAAACGCCCATATGTTTCCAGTATTTATTATTCTTAAAATATTTAACAAAAGATAAATATTGATAATAATTTTGAAATAGGATATTTTGGAATTATTCAGTACAATATGTTCCTATATAAGATATTCATACTCCTTTTGCGTAGATTGACACGTATTAAAGATCAAAGCTATAAACGCTACTATATAAGTCTCCCTATTCCACTTATTTACTAAACAAATCCTTATTGTCTTCTCACACTACATTCTGGAAACAACTGCAAAATAAGGAAAAATGAATCCTCACACTCGATTCCTCCATTATCTATTCTTTCATATACCAGCCGATCTTAGTACACCCTTTTCTTAATGCGGGTTGGATCCGGTCCTTAAGCCTCATTGTTTAAGGAGATTCTTAAACCATTTTTATTGGCTAATAGTAGATTAGGTAGTTAATGGGAGGTTAGTAGTTAATAGTTAGTTGGAATAAATGAGATATTATGCAAATATAATTAATATTACTCATTAATGTTTATCTTTCTCTCTCTCCCTTGGCTTGAGTTCAAGTCCTTAAGCTTCATTCTTTAAATAAAATCTTAAGGCCTTCCTATTGGCTAATAGTGGATTAGGTAGTTAATGGGGTTAATAGTTAATAGGTAATTAAGGATAAATGAGGTTATACAAATATAATTAATATTACTAATTAATGATTCTCTTTCCTCTCATGATTTTCTTCATAACTCTCTCTACGTTATAATTAAAAAGAAATACGAAATTAACTTTATTTAATATTATTATTTAATTGTTAATAAAATCCGAATTTAATATTTTTCCTTTTTTAAAATGGAAAGTTAAAATTTAAAATATATAGTCTCTCTCACATCTTGGCAACTTGCAATTTAGTATCAACGTTTTGTGATGACATTATCAACATTTATAAATTGAATCATTATTAGGGCTT